CCACCACTCCAGCAACCCTCAGTTTGTTTCCTGAGATTAAGAATTCCTCATATCACCACTGAATAAATTTTTAGTTAAAATGAATTAAGTATGTAAACATTAGCATGGATCAAACTCAAAACCAAAATGTTAAAGAATATATATACTATGCCTTCTTATAACATGTCAGTTTGTAAAGAAATTCTGTATATTAATTGTGGATACATACACATATAGTCAGCATATAAAATGACATGGAACGGTGTATGCCAAATATAAGAGTGATTATGTCTGCTATTGATGGGAAATGAAATTGGACAAAAATATATAAAGGGGCTTATATTTTGTCAGTAATTATTTCTCTTCAGCTTGGTTGTAGATACGTGTTTGGTTTTTAAAAAATATTGTCATCTATATTTATATGCAAGAGTTAGTTTATAATTCCAAAAATAAGAAGGCCATAATGAAAATGATGCCTTAAAAATAATGATATAATAATTTCAACCTATTATACATGATGGATTGAGTGGGAGCAACAGGTTAAGACACAGGCAATAAAGGCGCTTATTGAGAGGTTACTGTTCAGATTTCCTCTACAGTCACTGGATTTCATATTTCTGTGATGTTTCTAAACAATGTTTAGCACAGCATTCCACTTGAAGTTAACTGTCAGAGTATTTTTTTCAACGCTTATATAAAGTTAAATTTTATTGACCTTATTATTGATAATTAACCCCATTCAGTTGAAATTGTGTTTGCTTACCTAATAAAACTGGCAGTGCTTAATACCATAATCAGAATGGAGAGGCAGGAGTGGGGTGCAGGAGAAACTCAATCACACTTGATTCTATAAAGTTAATTGCAGTAATAAATTAAATATTATCTTTAAGCATTCAGTAATTTTCTGCTGCTTAGGCATGTCTGGCCAACATTGTCAAAAATTAGCTTCACTTGTACAGTTAATTTTATTTTTAACTTGTGGGTTATATTAAGATTCTGATAAGTGTCTTTGATGAAATAAACAAGATAGGTAAGAGTCTCAAGAAGAATAAAAAAATGTTTCAATCATTGAATTACTCAGGTGTCATTTTTCAGGTATTACTGCTCTTACATCTTATTAGTCTTACTATTTCTACTCCTCAATGGCTTTTGTGTATTTCTAGTCACATTAAGATGGGTAAGTATTATGTAATGAATGATCAGAATTCAGTGATTTAAGCCTGGACAGCCATTAGTGAATAATGAAATCAAACAGAGGGACAATTCTTGAGTAATTTTTGGTTTGTGTTCTGGATTAATGTCACTGAGACTTTCTTATCCACATCAACTTTTCCATGTTAAGCCTACTTCCACATTAGAGAAAACATCTTTCTCTTCTTATTAGTTATTGTTGATGTGGGCAGTGGTGTAATTTTTATTTCAAGCTTTTTGAAGAGAGCACCGGAAAAAGCAAATTTTGTGTTACATAATGTCATATAATGCATTTCAACATCTAACATAAGTTACCTTGGAAGCATAGCTCTTTGGGAGTGATTGCAGAGTTGCTTCCCTACTTGAATTTCCTCTATTATTTCAGTAAAAAAGAAACCTAATGTGGTGATAATATACACCAAAAATATTCAGTGGTACCTGACAGCTAGTGAATGCTTGAAAACTCTTCTTTAATGTGACCAAGTAAAATACAGTTAAGATATTATGAAAAATTATGATGATGACAATGGTGATGGTTTGAACCTAAAACTAGCATTGATCACTGGGTCTCTCAGCCAAATTAAAGGCAGATTGAAGTACAGAGTTTAACTTAACTAATAGTTTAATTATCTGTATTTTGAAAAACAAGTAATTTAAATAATTGTAGATGAATAATGAGAAGCAAATCTTCATATGAGGCAGCATAATATGGAGGTAAAGAGCATGGACACAGAGACCAAACCCCCAGGGTTCAAACTCTGGTTCTGCCACTTAGGCTGGTGACCCCAAGGGTGTGACATAGCCTTCTCATGCCTCAGTATCCTCACATGGAGATATGGGTTGATGTGAGCACCTGTTGAATAGGGTTGATTTGAGGATTAAAGGATTCGATGTCTGAAAAGTACATTGAAATAATGTCAGATAGTAATTACAAAATAGTTATTTGTTAAATAAGTAAGTTAACAGTTAATATATACAACCTGTGTGGTTAAAACCACTGTTGAGACTGAGTTCTGTTGTTGAGCTGGTTCTTGAAGTCTCCATATTTGTTTGTCATTTCCTTTCATGACTTCCTTCTCTTTCCTGCTTCTCCAAATTTGGGTGTAAACTCTATAGATTAATAATAGAGGGAATTAGAGGGTAAATAATTACTATATAACTAAATATTTCTTGCCTGACAATAATTCAAACACTAATTTGTAAGAAGTAGAATAAATAAGCTATGATTCGTAATCATAAAATATGTAATCAGTTGGTATATAAACATTTCTTATCACGAGGGATCACTAAACCAGTCATACACTCACTTTTTTTTAAACAAAGGAATCATTAAAGTTGTACTGTCTTTAACAAAGTTATCCCTTCTGCCCATAAAAGTTTATCTCATTGTTAATTCTATACACCTCCTTATCCTTGGGACAATAAGGGGAATTGTACAGTCTATCAGATAGAATGGCCTATACGCTGTTGAGTTTATGCTCAGCATAAACTTTTCATGTGACGTCATGGACGCCTCATTGTAAACTAGGTCTTGACTCTTAGAATTTGCAAGAATGGCATCTGATAATTTCTCCCATGCCTTCTTCAGCTTCCCCATGTACACATTACAAGAACTAATAGGGATTCAGCTACACTTATGTGTTAATTACTGTTCAAAGTATTTCATATATATTAAATAATGTTCATCTTCACAAAAACCTTTTGAAATGTCTGCTATTATTATTCCAACTTTACTGATGAGAGAATTGTGTCAAAGAACAAGTTAAGCAACTTGGTCAAAATCATGAAGAAAGTGGTAGACCTGGTGTTTTAACCCAGGCAATTCAACTTCAGAAAACATGCTTTTCACCATTACATTATACAGTCTCTCCCACACCTCATGCATAGCACATAAGATGCAAACAACAATAGTTAGCTTC